GAAAGGAGCCCGTGTATGAGACATGGTGCAGCACGTTGCACGGCACACATGGTTTGTGCTTTTCCACCCAGCTGAGGTCCCTTCCAACGATAGGTCCCTGGTTGTGTTCTGTAAATTAAATAATATTCGGAACCACAGAAGCAAAGGTTGTCGTGGATTGAAAGTCTGTTGTCAAATCGATGGTACCTATAGTCTCCATTGTAGTTCCTTCTTGTGGTTTAACCAGGTATATATTATAAGGATCCTACAAGGTAACCCCCCCCCCCCAAACAAAAAAAGGCAACTGCAATGGAGACTATGGGTAGTTTCGACGGCAGGAAATTGTTGTCATGAGCCAGATGCAGAAGCAGGCGACGCAAATTAGCGTCCTGCGTCACCTGACAGCACTTGGTAGTGGGGTTCAATACCCAAGGGGTCCTAAGAACCGATGTGGTCGAAGGTAGGGTTTCTATTTTCGGAGTTACTATTATGATGTAGAGAAGTACCCCCCCCATAACAGTACTTATAAAACCCTTTGGGGTTATAGTGTTGAGAGGTTTAGGGTCGAGTTTGGGCTGTTGGGTTATGTGTCTCGACTCTCGTTCAAGACGTTTATGCTTAGGGTTGCTGGGTTTGGCCGGTTGCCATGCTAAAGTAACCCTAAACCCTAAACCCCTAAACCCCAAACCCTAAACCCTCAACCCGAAGCCTTCAATCCTAGGAACCCTGCCTCTGCGGGAGCACTCGATGAAGGGCCTTTCAGCTTCGACCTTTCGTGGGCATCCCTATGGTTCCATGTACCCATCATGCGGTTTAGGGTTCAGGGTTTAGGGTCATGTATACTGTAGGGGCCTAAATAATCACCTGCATTATTTTGACGGTTCCTTATGATAATTAAAGTGGAATGGGCCCCATAACCCCCTTTCTGATTATTAAGGCCCCTATGTTACGTCTGTAGCATAAGAACAGGTTCCGGTACAGGCCCTAAACCCTAAACGTACAGCAGGGTTGAAGTCGTCACATGCTTTGAATGGGCACGCGGATCCTCATGCAGAGCCAACACGTGATCATTGGTCAGGTTCCTGGCTTTATGGAATGAACTATAGCTAGACCCTGACAAATTTTGTACTGCTTCTTAGTCAGCTAAGTTCCGTGTTAATTGTAGGATCCTAACCTTGAAGTAGGTGTTCCAAGTAAAGGTACTATGTCCTAGCGTCTCGGTAAGCCTCGAATTCGTTGCCTTCTGAGGTGACATGTTCATGGAGATGGACAAAGATCTGTCCGAGATGGTCTCTGTGGATGAGCTGAAGGACTGGACCCTAAACCCTAAACCCTAAACGAATGCTCGGGATCAGCAAAATTCAAACCGAAAGGGTTGAGGTTCAAAGGCTTTGGAGCTTGAGGTGCAGGGTGTCGTGGTCGTACTGCCTGCCGGCACCCTAGCTTAACTAACCCTGCTTGAAGGCTCATGGGACTTCGCAACTGGAGTTGGAAGTAAGGTAACTCCAGGTACATCTACTTATTGCTCCAATTAAGGTAGGCACTTATGAGGCTTACTTACTAAGTCAAGGATCCTCCAAGAGGGTAATGCCTTCGGGTTCAGTCACCGGTATAGCACTAATTATAATGTTCACACCTCGGTAATATAGGCCTTCATAATTACCTATACTATTTTTGGGGCCTCCTTGTTATAATTATAGCATAGTATACACCAAAACCCTGTTCCAGTTAGTAAGGCCCCTACATGGCTCCTCTCCTTTGGTTCGTGCGCTGGCGTTTGGCGCCAATGTGCCCTTGGATTGCTTGTGGGCCACCAGGCTGGTTGGTGCGCTGACTAAGTGTTCTGCCACTCCCCTAAGCCTCGGTCCTTGTTGCAACATCACTTGACAGCGGTCGTCATGAAGTGCATAACCTCCGTTTGCGTTTGGTCGGCGGCGCTGCCTTCTCTCCCACATTGACTGCAAGGATGTGCGACAGTGGGCCTCTTGCGCAGCTCCGGCTGCCACGCTTGCTCTTGCTACTTTTTCGCCTACTTGGCGGGCAGTGCGGCATCGGCCTATCAAGGCCTCTACACTGAGCCAGCGGCGGCCCTGAACCGCCCTCCTAAGCGGCCTACCCATTCCTCGCCAGATTCGGGTGGCGACTGGACGATTCCTAACCCTTACCATGAAGGGACTCATATTTTAAGGCTTTTGGGCTCAAAGACCCTATTATGAAAGGCTTTTGGGCTATTTTGATGCTAAGGGTAAGGATTACATTGATCAGGTCCGCAGACACCTGGTTCGGTGCCTGATCTTCAACCCTGAACTGAACTCTAAACCCTGAAAGCCAGTTGGAACAGGGCCCACAAAACGAAACACATAATACAAACCCTACTAGGCCCCGAACCCAGGCCTAATCGCGATGCTTTAGAGAGAAGCCTAAAGCCCCAATTCCGAAACCCTCCCTCAAAATGGAGCTGCAAAGAGAGAATCCTAAGATGGTGCAGGGTATAGACCCTAAACCCCAAAATCCTAAACTCTAAAACCCTAAACTCTAATCCCTAAACCCTAAAACCCTAAACCCTAAAACCCTAAACCCTTAAATACTAAACCCTAAAACCCTAAACCC